CCCCACCCCCCCGTCACTAAAAATAGAAAACTGGTCTCCCTATGCATTTAATTTAAATGGCGATGGTAATATTACTTACTTCATTGTAAGGTAACCTTCGGAATTCATTTTGCGCGCAGCCAGCTTCACCTTCGGTTTGAATTGGAAAATAGGTTTCTCAAATCCAGTAGCTTTTATCATTCTTTAGAGTATTAATGGTTGTTTCCTTTCTAACCTTTTGTTTGATGTAGTGCGGAATATCTACATCAAGATTACATCATTATTTTCTCTTCGAGTTACACGTGCTGCCCATTTTAGTTGCTGCTGTTTTTGAATGTTAGTTCTGGGTATTACGATAAACTAACACCCGGCATCAAGGCCTCTGATCGGGACATTGGAAGTTTTGAGGAGGGTAGACCCACCTTTTAATTGCTGTTTTTTTTTTTTTTTTCAGGTACACCCTGATTCGGAGCGGTAGCACCTGTTAGGATGTTCCCAGCTATAGTCAAATAGTGAACCCCCAAATAAATACATAAAAAAACAAAGAAAGTATAAAAATACATCTTTATCTTAAAACTACCAGCAATACATTTTTACATGAAAAATTACCAACAAAACCTTTTATACTAAAACTAGCAGCATGGCCCGGCGTTGCCCGTGCTTGATTAAAAATATCGTACGACACATACAGCAATCGCTATCACTTGACTTAAAATATTTTTGCCCTTCCTTGCCTTTAAAGGAGTGCTCTTTGCCGTGCTGATGTTGCTACATGCCTTACTCCTTGCTTATCTCACACTGCGAATTTTTGCTAAGCTCTATACTAAACATTAAATCTGTTACGAAAAAAGAACAAAACAAAATGAACACAAAACGATCAGATTTAAAAAAGAACTCGTAACTGGAAAGACCGAATGAAAAAAGAATGTTAACAACAAATACTTTTCACACCCAACACAGTTCTGCGGAATCAGAATCAACGTTGAGTTTAAGCAAGAGAATGAGACAATTAGAGTAAAGTGCCATGCAGATTTAAATTTTTCCCACTTGTGACTAATGCAGCTATCGATTTTTTGCATGCTAGTTAACATTCGTGTCAGACAGCTGTTGGCTCTCATGCTGGCCAATAGAATCTTCCTGCCTATTCGTGGCAGCCAGCTATAGGCTCTCACTCTGGCCAGTAGAAAATGACCGCAAACTACATGAAAACTGCTGTAGAAGCATGAAAAAATCGATTATTTCCACTATCGATGGGAGTTGGGAAATGCAAATCGTTCTTGGCCTTTCTGCTAACTTGGAGCATGTGCATGTAAATCTTGGTGCAAATCCGTCGAAAATTCCGGCCGTGCATTCGTTACACAAACACACACATTCTGCCTTTTATAGATAGGGATTACCAACAATACATTTTATCTGTAGTTGAAGACATATTTAATCGAAGCCATAAAATTATGAATCTGGCGAGCAAGTTAGCAAGCTTGTCTCGTTAAATCAATTCCAACTGAGTAGAGAGTTCTATCATCAACGGGTGCTATATGTTTCCGACCTTGTGCCACATCTATTTTGGGCTAAATAGAACCTTATATTTTGGCAATTGCGACCTTGTGACCTTATCTACATTTAATAAATGCCTATAATTAGCCATTTCGCCATAATATAACCGTTATCAGGATTTTCTCGCTAGGCTTGCGGCCTCATACCACATCTACGTTGTGCTTAATAAATCCCTATAATTCGACATTTCAGCGTAGTGTAATGGTTAGTAGGTTTGCCCAGCTAGATCAATTACGACTGATTAGCGACTCCGAACCTTACTGCGTTCGTCATACTTAAAACCTTGTGCTATATCTGCGTTTAATAGATTCCTATAATTAAGCATTTGGACGTAGGTTAATGGTTATGTGGCTGATCTCGTTAGGTTTGAGTCCTTGTTTCACATCTACGCTGCGCTTAATAAATCCCAATAATTCTGCACTTCGACGATGTGTAATGGTTAGCAGGTTTTTTCTCGCTTGTGTAGTGCGTTCAAATTTTACTGGATGCTACATTCTTACAACCTTGTATCAGATCTAAACTATAAATCAACATATTGAAAATTCTTAAGCTAAAATAAATGGAGATTGAACAATAGTGAAATTTGTAGGGATACAAAATGTAATTATCTCCCTTTGGTTGAGATAAAGTCACGAGGGTCACATGACGACCTGTGATTGACGTCATGGCAGAGATTAACGAAAACCAGTTGTAAAGCCCGAAAAAGAAGATCGTCACAAGCCCACAACCGTATTTTTTACAGTTAAAACCACGTAGCCTGACCAGGTCAATTGAGGAAAGGAAGAAAATAGAGGCTTGCCAGGAGTGCATCAGCATCCACTAGCCCCGATGGATTTAATATTATCGTAGAAACAAAAATAAGTGATCGAAAGCTAGCGCTGGGAATTATCCATCTGTGAGAGGAGAAAGAACCAAAAGAAATTTGAATATTTAACGGTCCCCTACTTATCCCGACACAAATCCCAATGCTGGATATTGAAAAACTTTAATGCTCCATCGTTATGGCCAGCACAGCCAGGCCATAACGATGCAGCAGCAAAAATTTTTTATATAAAATTATACTGAACAGAAAATTGGGGATTAATTTTTTTATTGTTATTAAGTAATAGGAGGTATTACATATCAATGTAATAATTTTAGAAGATACGAAGGTCATTCAATAAATAAGGTGAATTTTTCGGTATAAGGACTTCTAATACAGATAGAAGCTTACTTTTTTTTTTATTTTTCAACGTAGTCTGGCACTGTCACACACTTTTCCCATCTGTGCATAAGCTTCCGTATTCCCTCAGCGTAAAAATCTTTGGACTGATGTCTCAAGCAAGTCGCTCACAACATTTTTGACTTCATCATCACTTTTAAACTTCGTGCCTCTCGTGAACGCTTTCAAGGGACCAAACTGGTGAAAGGGGCAAGGTCTGGGCTGTAAGGGGGATGAGGGAGCAGTTCCCAGCCCAGCTCGTTGATGGTCTGCACCGTTTGGGCTGCTGTGTGAGGCCTTGCGTTGTCATGATGTAAGATGACTCCTTCTGACTGATGACCCCTGTGTTTGTTCTTTATGTCTTTCTTGACCTGCCTCAGCAGTTCACAGTAGTTCTTCTGTCAGGCAGAATGAGGTCATTGACTGATTTGATCACCTCAGGAGACCTCACTTCTGTAGGCCTCCCGGGCCTGCCTTCATCCTCAACACTGCTCCGTCCATCTTTAAACAATTTAGCCCACTTGTAGACATTTTTTTTGGCTGAAACATGTGGCACCATACACAGTTGACATTCTCCTATGAATTTCAACTGGTTTGCACCCTTAAGCAACCAAAAACTTGATAACTGACCGCTGTTCGATCCTGGAGGTTGCTTCTTGGTCGGCCATCTTTGTTAATCGCCGAAACTCTCAAAGTTTTTTTTTAATCTGCAAAAGAAATTAAATCCATGTGAAAAAGAAGTAAAACAAAATTTTTTTTTAAAAAAGTAAGCTTCTATCTGTATTAGAAGTCCTTATACCGAAAAATTCACATTATTTATTGAATGACCTTCATCTATTAAAATGCTCGTTATTTACACTATTTATATTCGATTTATTTTCTTCATCTTTGTTGATTTTATTGTGCTTTTCAGCCTTCCTCGGGTATATATCGATCTGGGTAACCCACAACTGTACCCTTTATTTAAACTATGGGGTAAACTTTTCGCCGTTCTACTGTTTATGTCTTGGGATATCGTCTAGTTCATATTTTTATTTTGACATGTACAATTATTGCTCGTCTGTTTCCACTGAGTGCATGTACACACTACCCCACCCGGGGTTTGAACTCACAACCACTATATCACCAACAGATGAGGAATATCGGAGCAGTAGCTACCGTAGTTGTTTTACCTTTCTTTTTCTTTTAATTAAGTTGGTAGCAAAAGGCTGCGATAAGAGAATGCTAGTATTCATTTTCATTTTCTACGTTACTGACAAGTAGTCGGCAAAATTTCCCCATTGGGGAACAATAAAAATAGCCAATACATACCCCACGCATTGTGATATTTATTACTACAAGAGAACATGCAGTAACGACATTAGTGCAGCCAACTATGGAAAAATTGTTAGTAATCGTCCAAATAGTGATGATGTGAAATTGTTAAACATTTTTATTGGTATTTAGTAAGTCCGCTTGTCATTTTCGTTAAAACTTTCTCGATGGTTTCTCCGATGGTTTCAAAATCATTCTTTAGGGTACATCTCTGTTCCCTTAAATGTCATCTTCATCTGGTTGGAGACAGTTGCCGCTAAGCGGAGTGATGCTACGTAACAGTTCAGCAGTCTTTTACATGTTTGTTTCTAAGAATTTTTTTTCCTATTGCTTAATTCTTTCTTTAGTCAGGTACAAGGTTAACATTTTGTGCTATTTAGTATAGATTTACCTCGTTGAACTGAATAAGGATGACCCACTTGGCTTGGTCATTATATATCGCCCTGCCGTAATGATTACAGGGACTTTAGGTTTCGCCACCTCTTCATTGCTTTCTTCTCATTAATATGACCGTTTCTTTCCCGCCCGTTTCGAGTTTATACGCGCATGCCATTTTTTTAAAAACTTTTGAGCAGCAAAAATGTCGAAGTTCCCATTACTATGATGGATGTGCTGGCGATGAAACTTGTGTTATCGCAAACATTTGTCATGGTCTAATCTGAAGGCAACTCCCGTTTATCGATCTCTTTAGTTTCGGAAGGAAACCGACTGAGCGCTTTATGGCATATAGAATCAACTCTTCTCATACTTCTGCCCACCTTAGACGTGTTTTTTTTTTTAATTTCTATTTGTTTTTTCGTTTACTTTCTTGTTCTGATTCGATTTTCTTTCTTCTTTTTAACCGCCCCCCCCCCACAATTATTTTCTTTGAATTCATTCTCATTTGCTTTTTTGCTTCTTCTTCTTCTTTTTCTTCTCTCTTCTTTTTTTCTTTCCTCTTTTCATTTTCTAGCTCGAGTTTTTATTCTATTTTTCTCCTTTCTTTATCTTCTTTTTCTCTCTCTCTCTCCCCCCGCTCTCTCTCTCTCTCTATCTATCTATCTCTCTCTCTGCATTGCTTCGTTTATCCTTTCTTTTCCTTTGATTTTTTTCTAATACTTTCCCTTACTTCTTCTTGTTTTCTCTTTTTCTTTAGCCCGGTTTGGCTTCAGTCACTTTCCCAATTCCGACATTTTGCCTCTCTGCGTGTTTTCTATAAATAATTTAATAGTAATTTTCGGCTGAGTTCTTCGCTATGGTACCTAGAGTTTATTTCTTTCTTAATTTAAGCGCAGTACTAGACTGGCGATTAGGTCTCACCTTTTTACAGCTGACCTGGCTAGATGTAGCTGTAAGTTCTATGCTAACAGTGTCTTCTCTCGTAATTTTCACCTCTTGAACTCCCTTCTGGCTACACGCTTTCCTGTCAACTTAAATCTTCAAAAATTTAAATGCAATGTCAATCGCTATCTACTGTTTTCTTGATTACGCTTTCGTCTTCCCGCTCATTATTACTGTTTCTGTTGCCCATTCTTCCACACCCTGTAACCTCTTGTCTTTTCGTGCCATTGCTGCCTTGTTCTGGGGTGATTCAGATAAAAAAAAAAGCTCTCCCAACACTTACTTCTGTCCATATTTTACGTTTTTTTTTTATTTCTCTTTATTTTCTTTATAGCAATGATTCGATTTTTTTCTTCTTTTCATCCTCCTCCCACTTCTATTCTTGAATTCATTCTTATTTTTTATCTTTCTTTCTTTCATTTCTCTTACCATTTCGATTTGCTTTTTTTGTTTTTCTCTTTTCTTTTTCTTTTCCACCCTTACTAGTTCTTTTCTTCTTTTCTTTTATCTATCTCTCTCTCTCTCCCCTCCTCTCTCTCCCTCTCTCCCCTCCCTATCTCCCCATCTCTCTCCCCTCTCTCTCTCTCCCTTCTCTACCTCTCTCTCTCCCTCATTCCTCCCCTCTCCCTCTCTCCTCCCTCTCCTCCCTCCCTCTCTCCTCCCTCTCTCTCCCTCTCTCTTCCTTCTCTCTCTCCTCTCTCTCTCTCCCCTCCCCTCCCCTCACTATCCCTTCCTATCTCTCTCCCCCCTCTCTCCTGTCTCTCTCCCCCCTCTCTCCTCTCTCCCTCCCTCATTCTCCCTTCCTCTATTCCCTCTCTCTCATGTCTCTCTCTCCCCTCTCTCCCTCCCTCCCTCTCCCCTCTCTCCTGTCTCTCTCCCTCTCTCTCATGTCTCTCTCTCATGTCTCCCTCTCTCTCCTCTCTCTCCCCCTCTCTCCCCTCCCCTCACTCCCCTCTCCTCCCTCCCCCCCTCTCTCCCTCCCTCCTCTCCCTCCCTCTCTCCCCCCCTCTCTCTCACTACACTTTATTTCCTGCTTCGTTTATCCTTTCTTTCTTTCTTTTTCTTTGGTTTCTTCTGATAATTTGCCCGCAACCTTTTCTTTCTTTTCTCTTTTTCTTTATCTCTTTCAACTCTTTCTTCTTCAAAATCATTGACTTTTTGACTATTTTTCCATTCTACTCTTTCTTCTCTCACTTCATTCTTATAACGTCTACATTTTCTTCGTTACCTTTTCTTTTGTAATTCGTTTTTCTTCATTTTTGTCTTCTTTTTTATTGTTTTGTTTTCTTTACCTTTTTCATTTTGATTTTTTCCTTTTTTTCTTTTCATGCCTACTTTTGGGATTCTTTTCTTCATTCACTTTCATTGTTTATTTCTTCTTTTCTTTTTCCTTTTCTGTTCGTTTTTTCACTTCTCTGTTTCTTTGTCTTATACTTTCTGACATTTTTCTTCAGATATCGAGATCTTCACATTTTCATACATTTAATCAATTTTCTTCTTTCTCTTCTTCGACTCATATCCCATCTTCCTTCTTCTCTGATCTAATTTCCTCGTTCTTTTACTTCTTCTTCTTCGTGCCAGTTTCATTTTGAATTCGTTTCTTCTTCTTCTTCTTCTTCTTCTTCTTCTTCTTCTTCTTCTTCTTCTTCTTCTTTTTCTTCTTCTCCTCCTCCTCCTCCTTCTTCTTCTTCTTCTTCTTCTTCTTCTTCTTCTTCTTCTTCTTCATGTCAGTTTTTTCTTTTTCTTTTTTGACTCATGTCCCATCTTTCTTCTTCTTTGAAGCAATTACCTTTCTTCTTCTTCTTTGTGTCAGTTTCATTTTGTATTCCGTTCTTCTTCTCCTCCTCCTTCTTCTTCTTATTGTTGTTGTTCTTCTTCTTCTTTTTCTTCTTTTTCTTCTTCTTCTCTTCAAGTCAATTTCCTGCTTTCTCTTTTTCGACTCATGTCCCATCTTTCTTCTTCTCTGATGCAATTACCTTTTTTCTTCTACTTCTTCTTCGTGCCAGTTTAATTTTGTATTTCTTCTTCTTCTTCATCATTAAGTCAATTTTCTTCTTATTATTTCATTCAATTTCTTTCTATCTTTTCATTCTTTGACTTAACTTTTTAATGTTCTACATTTTCCTCTTGTCGTTTTCGTTTTTTTATTCCTCTCCTCTTCTTCTTTGTCTTTTTTTTTCTATTCAATTTCCTTCTTTTCTTCTTCGACTCCTTCCTTTTCATTCTTATCTGGCGCCATTTCCGTTGTTCTTCTATTTCTACTCTTTCGTCCCCATTTTTTTTATTCCCGATTTTTCTCCCTTAAGCTTAGCTTATTCTGTCACAGATACAAATACTAAACTCCCCTCTAAACTTCAAACTAAATTCCTACAGCATCGATTCCCAAACATTTTTTTCTCTGAGTCACATTTTCGGAATTAAAATAAGTTTGCGCCTCACCAAATTTTATGTAATAAGAAATGCAATTAAAAATAAAAACAAAGAAACGTTTAAAGGGAGATAGCCGCAGATTCTTAGTCAGAACATTATCATTGATAACTCTCTCCTCCAATTTGCGGACCCTAGTTATGATATTCTTAATACTTGATATACTGAAAAAAATATCACAATGAAAAAATCGGTCAATAATTATTTATAACTATCTCTACTGGGATTCATCAACACAATTACGAGTAATCCATGATAATATTTTAAATTTTGAAATCATATTTATTTTTGGCATATGAATTTTTTAAACTGTGTTTCAATTATTCCTTTTGCACTGCACCTATGAGGCGTACCACGCCGTTATACATTTGATTAATCTCATATTCCGTAAAAATTTACTTATTTTAGCATTGTCCTCTATCCTGCCATTCTTTGACGTGTCCTCACCCACTTTACTCGCTCATTTCCTTCCGCTGATATTTAGTAAACTTATGCTACAAAGCTAAAGATGTTATCCAGACTTAAAGCAGCATTATTTCTGAGAAAACCTGTAAGAAAGGAACTGAGTAGTCTAGCTAGAATCTGCGAGATTATATGGCTATCTCTCGACCTGTAACGTGTGATCAGCATAACTATAGTGAAGAATGTGTTGAGGACTGGATTTAATATACTATGACTTGTATGTCGTTCTTTTATTTTAGTAAATTTATATAGATGATTATAGTCTAAATTGTAATATAGAATGGACTATGTGCTTTGAATAGAAACAAAGTTTATATTGTTAATAGTAATATTAGCCGTTTCTTTATAAGGAAGGACTCGACATTCATTGTCCGAGCAGCCAGTGCCAATGCCGGTTGAAATTTATAAAATCTTTCTTTTAAAGCATTTTTTTCAGGAAAACAGGTTTCACAAGCCCTGTAGTTGTCATTGCTCTTTTTAATACTGATTGGGTTTTCCTACCTAATCCATTGTTTGGGGTTGTGTGGGATGTCAGTATTTTATGTCAAGTTACTATACATTTTAGTTGTTGCTGTTGTTGAAAGTCCTCAAGAAATGTGGTACAGTTTTTTTTTTTTGTTTGTTTTTTGTTATTCTGCAGCGCCAATCCACAACGCTCAAACGAGCAGGAACTTTGACCTGTCATCAGGCTTTACTCGTTCAAAGTCTACTTTCACCATCGATCTTTGAATGAAGTGAGCAGTATAAGGATATGAATGATCGATAAAGATTGAAGAGGTCATGATTGAATTGTTCAAGGTAACAACAAAGCAGGATCTCGTTGCACAAAGTGCCGCCTCTTTGGAACAAAGCTGGCGTAGCACAACTTTCTTTTATGCATTTTCAAAATATAAAGAATGAGCGTGATTCGTCTGCTTAAAAGTAGCTTGGAGCATTCTAGTTGTAAAGGTCTTAACTGCTGGAACAAAAGAATAAAGCCTATTTGAATATTCGCCATGGAAATGGCGACAGAGGAACGACAAGTTTGAACTGTTAGAGCTCGATCAGGGAAGAGATCAGCTGCAAGGCGACTGTCATCATATTTATTAAACATAACACATAATGCTAACCTTAATGAGTGGGACTCATTCTAGCTTTTTGCACTGATATGAAGTGGAAAGATTATATTGAATCAATTGCTAGATCTGCTAATAGGAAATTCGACTCACTGTCTCGAGCTCGATAAATTTTCTGCCCAGTAACGTAGCTTCCCTGTGCCTTTTCTATAAATATTTTGATGGTAATTTTTTTGATGAGTTTTCATCTTTGGCACATCAATTTTATAAATTTAAGTGCAGTACTTGATTGTCTGTTAGGTCTTATCATTTTAAAGTTTAAATAATTAGATGTAACCGTAATTTCTATGCTAACAGTTTCTTTTATCGCACTTCTAGCTTATAGAAATCTCTTCCGGCTCTATATTTTGATATATATATATATATATATATATATATATATATATATATATATATATATATATATATATATATATATATATATATATATATATATACGTGTGTGTGTGTGTTGAACTTCTCTACGCCTGTCTCCGGAGTTTGACTCTTGTGACTTCTTAGGATAACATTTCCCTCTGACAAAAAGTGGTAAGGTTATATTGAATCAATTGATAAATCTACGTCTAAGAAAGCTGGTTCACTGTGTCGTACTAGACAATTTTTTCCGGCCTGAACCTATCTTACACATTTTTATGTACACGATAACGTGAATATTGCTGCCACATATGGTCAGATGCTCCTGCTATATATTTAGAGATCTTTGATAAAATACAAAGAAGAATCAGAAATGTAACTAGTCCTGGTCTTACATCTCGGCTTCCATCCCTTCCCCACCGCCAAAATGTATCTTACCTGTGCCTTTTCTATAAATACTGTCATAGCAATTGTTGCTTTCCTCTATTATACTTTTTATCCTCCCACAGAGAAATTATACATCTGGGAATTAGTTAAGACTTCATTGAGACTCGGAGGTATCATGGTGGCTGTAGTAAGAATGGTAAGTATCAATGTGTTTTTTTGTGGGTATGAAATACTGTCGTATGTTTGGGTCAGTAATTTTGGCTAACCAGATTTAATTAGGATAAGATCTGCCTTCCGCATTCCCGCTTTTGGCTTTGTGCTAAAGTTTAGTATTTTACAAAATAAATATTGCTTTCCTCTCTGGTACCTAAACTCTATGAATTTTAACGCGGTACTAGATTATCAGAAAGGTCACATCATTTTACAGTTGAAGTAACCGAAATTTCTAAGATAACAGTCTTTGTCTCGCACATCTCGATTGTGAAACTCTTCCAGCTTCTTGCTTTCCACTAGAGTTTGATCTACCAAAATTTAAATGAAATGTTATCTTTTATCTTCATTTTCTGTTCATTTATCACTGCTTATTAATGATTGCTTTTTATTCTTTCAAAAACAGTACCCTCCCGGTGTGTTAGTGACTTTGTTGACTTAATTGGGGTGAAATGTTTTTAACATTAATAATTATTATTGTCTGCATTGATCAGATTAATAATAATATGAGAATGTTCCTATGCAATAAAAAAAAACAGAGAATCGAGCGTTGGCTAGAATCTTAGGGGACGTTTGCAAGACAGTATACCCTCCTCCTATATCTGTTCTTAAACTGCTCCATTTATGAACTTGAAAACAATCTTGAGCGTGAATAAGGTATTTGAGGACACAATGAAGACTGTAAGAAAAAAAATAACATCTTACAGACAACTAAATATATTCACAGAAAACTTGCTACATAGATGCAGTAAAGGTTGGATGAAATGCCTATTCGATATAACTGCCTTCAGGTGCAGTTATGACTTCAGTGCAGGTCAGGAATCGTTGACAAGCACGCATCTCACTGGAAATTACTCGGGTAATGGCGACTTTCAGGGAATCAGTCGTATTGTGGGAACGTTGATTAGTCTCCCGTTCAACAACTCCCCATTGTAATTAAGGCAAATTAGGTCTGGCGAGTTAAGTGGCTGCTTGTTTCGTATGATGTGGCTAAACAGCTTCGCCATCATTCAATCTTAGGTCAACACAACTTTCCCGCACATACAGAACTTCTCAACTGTTTCCATCAACTCAAGTGTAGCCAGCAGCATTCAAACTAATCCCCATAGAAAAAAAAAGTCAGTTGGCATAACGTGTTCTTTAATACTCACCACACCTAAAACCATTTTAGGATCGGCTGAAATGGTGTAACATAATATGAGGGATATCGGAAATATCCGCATACAACAATCTATTGTTAGTCCTGACCATGTTTTGATCCTGGTGGAATTCTTTGCGTCTAAAATA